ACGTACGCACAGTCGCTTCGCGCAATATAAGGTTTGCTAGCTGTGGGACGAGTGGGAAACTTACTTTTGGGACGCGCCTCGTATAAGTCATTTCGTGTGACTTCATCAGCAAGGCAACTTAGATTTCTACAGGAATAAGTATTTTCTAGGATTGTGTTAGTCAAAACACATCACTGATTTCTTTTCACTTTCTCTGGAATTTTTGGATTGCAAGTTTTGAGATATAGCCTTATGAATTCCATTAGTCACTGTATTGCAGCCATTACAATGACACTATAGAATGATGAAGATTGTTTCCATTTCCTTAATTATGCACAAATTACAATGATTCATACTCCAAATTAAAGCTAAACTTGAGTACATTTATTATATGGCAAAAAGATGCTTTTTATTACTGCATTACCAAGGAACAATAAATATAAAATATGGGAAAATAAAATATAACCTGACCTATCTTTCCTCTCACACCTGATACCTTGGAAATTTTGTATGAATATTCAGCCTTGTTTACTGGCTTATGCACTAATTAATGTTATGCAGTATTGCAGAAGAAAAAGTTGACAGTGGAACCACGGTTCCAAAGAATCTGACGTAAACACGTCTCTGTAATGTAATAATTCTTATATAAGATAAGTACTTGTGATATTCTAAAACGTTTTTACCAGCACAAAATTATCTAGTCTGCGACGCACTTCTTCTACAAGCGAGTCACAGCTCAGCTCTTTCCGCAATAATGAAAGCGAATTGTTGACAGCAGTAATGAAACAACAATGCCGAATAAACAGATGACATAACAATTAGTTTCTTGGGTAAAGGAGTAAAGCATTGTTATGCACGCAGGAGTTCATATAAAAGCTGACCCTGTTAGCGTTAGCAAAATTCCCGTTTCAGTTATAAGGCTCTGTTTACCATTTCCAGCAATGCGTTTCGTATGCAGGAATGGCGTTACCTAGCAAGGGATGATGTCTTACGCTTGCGCAGGACTCTGCCCTTAGTTAGCGTTTTGTTGGTTTTGGTTTGGCCTTATTTACACATTGTTGGTATGGATCTTACACATTTTCCTAATGCTGTTTTGCCGAATGACCCTTCCGTATAGACGTATTTACATCAAAAATAATAAAAAGAACCAGTTTTCTGAAAATATATACCAAAATCGTGCAAAAATAGTTTCATAATGATACAGCATTGTACTTTAATTACATTGCAATTAATTTTACATTTGTTTGGGATAAATATAATTTTATATTTTGTACAAGTATTGATAATGCAAAACAGCAGTCTTGTTAGCAGATGACCATGTAAGTATGGGCTGTGCATTTTGTCCACAGTGTGTTTTTATGAGTTTCATATGATCTTTGAATCAATGCCAGTTATTTCCTTGAACAATACTAACAAACTCATCCTAGTAATAGGGATGGATGTATTCTGCTTTTTATAATGTAGGGACTGGACGGAGCTGAGCTGAACTTCCAGCTTTAAAGGGTTAATGGCATCTGTAAGGTGCAATAATTATTGCTGTGAACCACTGTAGAACTTCATGAAGACTGTCGAGAACACACGTGCAAATCACAACATAAATTAAACCTGATACTAAAGAATTATCCAAGCAAGAGAGTGCTAATGATGAGTTTTGTTAAAGAAATGATTGAGTAAGATGGAAACCTGTTTCCAGTAGTAGGCCTACTTTAATAGCATTTTAATAAACTGTCATAGCAGTGGAATCATTTGGCTTTGAATAATGTTTTTATTGTAATTTCAGATAAGATGAAGGATGCAGTGATAGCCAAATTGAGTTCTCAGTGTGAAGAGCTCTATGTCGAAGTATTGAAACTGTTCCAGAAGGAATTACTCAGGCCTCTGTGGGATAAAGAATGGATTCCAACAGTTAGTATTATTAGTGACAACTCCATCGACAGCATTATGACAGTTTTGCGGTCTTTTGTGCACGGTGCACAAAATTACTGTCTCTCCATCTCCATATTTGATGTCTAAATACTGACTGGATTTTGATTAAATTTGATATTAGGAATCTGCATCAGAATTTTCATCCTGATTCTTGTCAGTCCAAAATAACCATTAGTTTATGGGAAGTTCAAATTTACACTTACATTTTAGAAACACTGTGATGGACATTTTCCATTGTCTGATGTACATTTGTTGTACATGATGTTTCCAGAGTTGGCTCTACTCCTGTCTTCAGGGAAAGAATTTGGAGTATGCATATCATTCAGTGTCTCAAGAATATATTTGCTGAATTTTTAGTCGATTTTATAGTAAGTCGTCGCAAGCTCACAGCCATATAGTTACACGTTATGCTCTTAGATGCCCACAATCAGAATTTAAGAAGTCTTGATGGCTTGGTGAGCTTAAAGTTTGATTCACATATCTGGGCAGTAGACACACAAAGAGCATGCAAAAGTTTTATTTTGGCATTTCATATTTCTAGTTTAAATGTATAAAAAGTTAAGTACTTTGTATTGGAAAATAATTTTAAACCAACTTTTTGTTTCAATATATATTTATTTATTATTTCAGTCTATACACAAACTTAGTTTTTAAAATGTTGTTGTTAAAATTAAAATTTAGCGCTTTTCATCGTTATTACGATGTTACATTTTCAGCGCTGAAAATGTAACATCGTAATAACGATGAAAAGCTCTAAATTTTAATTTTAACAACAACATTTTAAAAACTAAGTTTGTGTATAGACTGAAATAATAAATAAATATATATTGAATTTTAACACAAACATGACGCATTTAAACTACAAACTTTTTGTTTGTTTGTGGTTTTAATACTTTTTATATTTTTTAACTTTCACTAATATAAATAAATTTTGTACTGGTATCTGAATTGTAAGTTATGTTTTTTTACTTTTTTAAGGAAAGAGATTGTACATTGCCCTGAGCCTCCTATTGTCTTATCATACAAAAAACTTTGTGGCATAAATTCTGAAACATTTCTTAGTGTCACAAATATTTAAAAATTACAATGAAAATAATGTCTGTAGAGTAGTTAGTTTTGCAACAGTATCTCAAATAATGTCTGTAGAGTAGTTAGTTTTACAAAAGTATCTGCTGTAAATGAACATCGAGAACAATGAGCCGTGCAACATGGCAGTGAAAATGCTTGGAAAATGGAAACATCTTTGCACTCACATTATCTGTTCCTGTCTTTTCTAGGTGGCTGGAAAACAGGCCGCATATCACGGGCTTGCCGAGTATTATCAGAGTCTTGTATGCAAAGCGAACAAAAGTGTTGGTGAAGAAATAGCAAGACTTGAAGTGAGTTGGTTTTTACATACCCTCCAAGTGGCCGTGTTGGCAGAAAAATTGTTTCATGAAACAAATTTTGAATATCAATAAGGCAGATCCAATTTTTTTTTCAATTTCTTTATATTTTATTTTATTTATCTTTTATAGCATGCCTTGGAATTGTTCAAAGCAGCACAACAGAGGTCAGGGAAACCATCCTTCTTTCAAGACTATGCAAACAAATCACAGAGGAATCTAACTGAAGCCAAAAAAGACAATGATTTTATTTACCATGAGAGAATTCCAGATGTAAAAAGTTTACCTCCTGTCGGGAAAGCGCTGTTGGCTAAAACTTTGCCAGTTCCAGAAAGACTGAGTCAGAACTTTAAAGGTAAGGAAGTATGCAGCACCCTGAAAATTATAATCAAAACATAACATAAACAGTTTTATAACATGAGGAGAGATGGGGTTGTGAGGTCAGCTAATAAGTTTAAGTGATGTAACATATTTTTATGAATGCTGTTGGTAATGGATCTGCAGAAACATGGAACTTTTGTTAGGTAATTATTTTAGCGTGTAAAATCAATCCGTATGTTTTCAGTCTGATAACGCTAATGAAGTATTGGAACCAAGCGTGTGAAAATTGTTTCATAAATACACCCACAGAGTTTGCATAAACATTTTTATGTTAATAATTACAGACATGGTAATGAGGAGGTTTTATTTATATATATATGACAAATTTAATGTAATCTGAATGTCTGCTAGTAGAGCACAGGAAAGGATTACTACATTGCATAATTATTGTGTATAAATTCAGGTATCGTTACTTCTTCTTAGAACTTCTTGTGTATGTATGAGAAATTATAAAAGTTATGTTGGTTATGAAGAGATGGAGGTAGCAAGGATGTATGAAACATCGGTAAACTTCTACCAGACCACGAGGCGCTACAGCCCAGAAGACGGCCGTCTTGGTAGTCTCCACCGTGAGAACCTCAAATCCTGCTTATGCTAATTTATTTGCCCTGGAAACTCGTTATGATGCTGAGTGTCCTTAATATTAAGACTTTACATATTATAAATGTTTAAAATATGACTGATCCCTCTGCAGACTTGTTTGTTGAGTTGGTCCCTGTCACTGTCCATCAAGCTTTGGCTGCATATGATGTGAGGAAGAATGAAATTGTGAACTCTGAAATTATGAAACTGCGGGAGAGTACACAGCTTCTTAACAGGTAAGTCATATGGTAAGTTAGAAAGCTGCCACAGTACTGAGTTGAGTAAATTTAAAAAGTAAAAGTGTTAAAATGTTGCTGTGTCTGTGGAACACACTGTGGAGGCACGAGGTAAAGCTTCGTGCACTCTTAACCTTGACACTAGGTAAACACGGATGGCAAACTTGACAACAGGATGCAGTATGAACCTGTTTGTCCTTGTTCTGCAATGCATAAGGAAATTCTTGAAAATTGCGGGTGTTGGGAGGAAATTTATACAGTCTAAATTATGTCTGTTGATTACTTAGTCCCCTGTTGCACCAATGTCAACACTGCTATTGTTGCTTGTTGTTTTCTTGTTTTTGTTATATTTTAGTATGTTCTCAATTGTATTTCAGTGTTTTGGCATCATTAAATCTTCCTGCGGCCTTAGAAGATACATCTGAAAGTTCATTGCCACAGTCACTTGTGGAAAAAGCATCAGCTGTAAGGAATAATGGTGGCATTCAGGAGTTGGAGAGAATGATTCAAGAACTGCCAGAACTCCTACAAAGAAATAAGGATATTCTTGATGAGGTGATGTTCTCAAACATGCTGTGGGCGTTGTCTCTTTGCTAGTATATGCTCGCTGTCTTGTTTATTGTCATCACGCTTAAGCTTCTTCTTGACTCATGTTCCTTGCTCTTCTGGTATTTGTTGTTTTGATATTGACATCTCAGTCACACTGCAATTTCTAGTTCTTTAATCGTGTCCATGTATTCAAGGCTGGATTAAGGTACATTCCTCATTGTGGGTTCAGTACATCTGGCAAAGAAATGTAATAAAACTTTGCATTTAAGTGTATTAGGGAGGTGATCTTCAGATCTTAGTCTAGAGACTGACTAACTTGAGAAAAGATATTTGAGGTTTCTTTAGTCCCTCCAGGCAAATGCTAGGATAGTATCTTAAATATGTCATGATCACTTTCATTATATCCTTACCAATTCATTACTGACTGTTACTATCTCATTCAATGTTACTTAATTTAAGCAGCTGAAAGTGTAATGTAATAAATTAAATAAAGAGTAGTGTAGTTACATGATTTTGATGATCTGGTCCATTTTACTACGCTACACCGGGAAGATCCTGAGACCTGGTGTGCCTCTTGTGGTAATGAAACAGTAATTCTCAGTGGGTATTTTCCTTAAACTGTTTTCTCTTTAATTACATTATGTTTAAAATTTTTGATAATGAAACTATCAGAGCTCATCTGAAAGAATAGCAATCTCACAAAAAATTCTATAAAGTACTTGTTATGCCTGCAGTTCCAGCAGGATCTATACATTAATAAATTCACATTACATTAAGTTTGTCAAATGTAATTTCAAAGTTTTGCCATATTTGAAATTGTTAACACAAAAGAATTTCATCCAAAATTTGTAGGTATATTTATGATTGTAAAAGGTAAAGTTGTTCAGTCTGCATCATGTCATGCAGATATATGAGATAATGTATAGCTCTACACATTCTTAGTTTCAATACATTAAGGAGGTGAGTGGTTATCTTCGGGTCCGCAGTAGCCGCACGGTCTGAGGCATGGGCCTTGTGCCGCTTGGTCACTGGGACCGTGGGTTCGAATCCCACTTAAGCCATGGATGTTTGTCCGCGTTTTTCTGCGTTGTTCTGTCCTGTGTACAGGTAGGTGCCTTGCGACGGGCCGATCCCTCGTCCAAGGAGTCCTACCAAATGTCTATAGATCCAGCCAATGAAAAATGTTAGGACCCGCAGTGCTCAGGCACTTGAAGAATGGGTCGATTCCAGTATCCCAGAGGTTATCTTCACTCCTTGTTAACTTTACCCCTGAAGAAAGAACCATAGTTAGGAATGTTTCATGCAAAAACAAAGCAAAATAAATCATTTTATTACTTTACCAGTATTGCTGAAGAGGTTCATTGCTTGTTTCTAGATGCCACGTGCACACACGTACTTGCAGATAATAGTTCTTAAGGGTTCAGAAGACAAAATAAAGTCATGCATTGCGTTGAATCCGTTTTCATATCCGTCATATACTTGTTTTCTCAGTCTTTCCAATGAAATGTTATATCATCTCCCTTGCCACTGTTGCCCATTTTACTACATAAGCTGTTCTGCCTCTAAGCATTTATGTAATCCTTATTACCAAGAATACACTTCATACAAGTATAAAATTATTTAATGATTCTTCAGGTGGGGATGCTAGTTAAATCTAAGAAAGTTGATAATTACTGCAGTTTCCTTTTGTATTTCCTACAGACCGAAAGAATGGTCCGTGATGAGAAGGAATCAGATGACCAACTGCGTAATCAATTCAAGGAACGTTGGACCCGTACACCATCAGACAGATTGACCGAGACATTCCGCGCCAATATGGGCAAGTATCGGGAGATCATCAATAACGCCATGCAGGCTGACAAAGTAATTCGCGACAAATTTGAGAGCCACCGTCGAGGTATGGAACTGTTGACGAAGGGACCGACTGAGATGCTGGCCGCTGTGCCTTCAGCAGGTCCTGGAGGAAGCAACGTGCAGAACAGCTCGGCAGTTCACCATCTCAGAAAACTTATGGAAGACGTAAGTCTGTCAGGGGAGGGGGCTAAATGAGCAGTCCTTAGTATTATGTTTACATATTAGTCATTTCAGTAGAGGAATTCTTAAATCTCCTAATTTCATTTCACTGACTCACACATGCTATTTAAGTAATAATTAACCTTATGAAATCTTAAGAATTAAGGCTTGAATGCATATTATCTGTATTAATTTTTTGACTGCATTATTGAATTAATTAATTAATTCTGACTGAATAGGTAGAGACTATCAAAGCAGAGCGTGATACCGTTGAATGTGAACTTAAGTCAGCAACAGCAGATATGAAATCAACATTCCTCAATGCACTGGCACAAGATGGAGCTATAAATGAGCAAGCCATGTCTGTGGAAAGTTTGGGTAGGGTATTTGGACCTCTGCAGCGTCAAGTGAAGGAGAGTCTGCAGAAACAAGAAGCTTTAGTTGCAGATATTCAGGCAAGTAGCGTATGATGTTACAGCAAAATCCATTCTGGTGAAGCTTTATCAAGATACTCACGCATTTTGAAAACAACAGTGTTAGGGTACTGGGGACTGATTACACAAAGTTCTCACTTTGTATCTGTTATTATATTTCCTTTGTGCGATTGATGTGAGTTGTGAGAGATCGTAAACCAAGCCAGCGAATGCAGTGGGCTCTATCATTGCCTAAGACAGGTACAGATGAAATAGTAGCGTAAGAATTTAACACTACAAACTGGTATTGATTCTGAACTTGAACATGAGAGCACCTGAAATAAACTGAACCGGTCACAACTACTTCATTTGATTTGATAAAAATTAAAGAAGGAAGGAGATGATGCAAATTATTTTGTGTGTAAGGACATGAATGACTACAATACAAAATGATTTTACCTTCTGCCGAAAACTGGCATAAGTGACATGACTGTGGTGCTAAACTGTAACTCATTCTTGTAGTGTTTAAGGCCTGTTCAATGTATCTCTTCAGAGGGTTCATGCATTGGCTTAACCTGTTAGTGTTGGAGGATTTATATTATTTTTAAAGAATTTAGGAGAAGTGATGCAGCTTTCAATTCACAAAAATGCAAAATGGGGAACTATTACAGTTCTGATCACATTTCATTCCAGCGTTATAGGCAAGTTATGTTTACAGGAAATGAAAATTATCTTAGTAATATTGTCTTCATAATAGGGATCAATGTCTCCTTTGCCAAATAAACACTCCAAGTGCAATATTCGTCTTTTGAATGTGATATATTTTAAAAATTAGTCAAACGTAAAGGACGTTAGATGGCAGCGTCTGGTGTAGTGGGTATTTTGGTCCTCACAGTGGGCTTAAGAAATGTTACAGCAGTGAATAGAGTAAGGGGTACTAGGAATTGTATGAAATCTCATTCTGCCAGTTTTGTTTGTTCCAGTTCCCATTATAGAATCAGACAGTCTCTTTTTGTGTGTGTTGAATCTTTAGGTAAAAAATACAGAATTTTGTAAAGAGAAATCTGGTGTTGGAGCTGCTGCCGAGAGGGAAACGGTATTGAAGGAGCTGGCTGCTGCTCACGATGCCTTCATTGAACTCAAAGGCAATCTGTCTGAAGGAGAAAAGTTTTACAATGATCTTACACAGGTAATATGATCATAACATTGTTTAATTGATTGTGCTTTTGAATTGGCTAAACTTGAGCCGGTTGATGGAAGTCTGTTGTTAACGGTACTATATTGATGATTGTTCTGTTTCAGATTCTGGTGGGATTTCAGAACAAAATTTCTGACTTTTGTTTTGCTCGCAAGACTGAAAAGGAGGAATTGATGAAAGACCTGACACAGAGCATTGGACGTGAAACTTTTGGTGCCACTCCAGCAATACCAGGTCATCACACCCCAACTCAAGGTATGTGTCATGCTGTTACACAAGGGATTATCCATTCAACTGTGAAATAATACATTTATCTATCAAAAACATAATAAAAAGCATGGATGGAAGGGAGGATGGCAGAGAGGAACCAAGGTGAAACACGAGGCCAAATTGAAGGAGGATACTGCACTGGAGGAAAATGTAATGGAGCATTTTCATGGCCCTATGTGGGGAATAGTCACACAAAATTAAAAGAATACTAAGAAATATTACAGCCTTACCAGAAGAAGACCTTAATTCAGTTTAATTATTCGTGTTTTTTTCCGTCTAATCACAATTGTATATAAATAAAATTATACATAAGATATTAAAATATCATTTACATATTTGGATTGATCCAGTTCTCCTCGGATACGTTAGTACTTCTGAATACCTTCAAGACATATCTACGCTCTTCCTCGGTATGTTCATTTTTACATTTTACCTGCCATTTTTATTTATATTTTTACCTTATTACATTTTGTCTTCTATACTCGTTCTTTCAAGTTCAGTAATAATTAAAAATATTTTAAATTATTTACGTTACAGGCCAATGTTAAACCACTATCACTTCAAAATATACCCTCACTCCAATGAATTTGGAAGTAAACATCATCAGAAGTTACACAACAACAGTAATTAAGTTTTAGTTTATAAGATTATAATTTTTAACTTTTAACTTTACACCTGAAGATGGTTCAATGTAACCGAAACATGTAGTAAAAAGTTGTACCAAATATGTAAATGATATTTTAATATCTTATGTATAATTTTATTTATATACAATTGTGATTAGACGGGAAAAACACGAATAATTAAATTTTAATTCACAATATGACGTAATTATATCAACTTAATTCAGTTGTTCACTCTAGGTTTTAATAAGAATATGATTGTTTGCATTAAATGTTTAAGAATACTTAATGAATTTTCAACATGAGAATCAGATCAGATACAGACCAGAATTTGTTTGTTTCAGAGGGCAAGAAGCAGCCGCCACCAAGACCTCCACCACCCACTTCTACTTCTGGCAGTGCACCAAGTGTTCCTCCACCATCAACACTGCCGTACCCCTCGTACCCTCAGGGGATGCCTGTTCCCTATGCAGCCACACAAGCAGCTCCTTACCCTGCCTATATGCCTTCTCCAGTCCTTCCGGCTGGCTACAACCCCTACGCTGTGGCACCATATCCTCAACAAGGTGAGTCAAGCACCCGGGATCAGTGCTCTCTCTCCTGAATCTCAGAACTTCTTATCCATGCCTTTTCATATGCCTTAGCTGTTTTTTTGTAAAATGTAATGTTCCAAGGAAAGGGAAAGTGACTTACGACACTTATAATATAAACAAGGTGATATATTATTGAGAGTTTACTTATATAATTTTTGAGATTTGTTGTGATATTATGATAATAAAAACATTGTTTGAAATACAGCGTCTTCAACTTATTTGGTGGATACAGTTGTGTTGTGTGATCTGTTAGGAAGGAATGTTAAAATCTGAACTTTGTCCCTGTATACGACATTGCTCTGAAAAATATTCTGCAAGAAAATCTCAAGTCTGAACTCCCACTTGACTCCTTGTATTGCCCTAAATATCTACACTGCTTATTGTTAAGGAAATTCTTGAATTGTGTTCTATGGAGTCTTGGATGATGGTGAATTTCAGTGTGAATGGCAACCTATAAAGTTATTTCTGACAAAACTGAAATTTTGAAAAGCAATTCCCTCCATCCTTTTCACTGCAGTTTTGGTGAATTTTGAGCAGAAACAGACACAAAAACTGAAAAAGATTATTTTTAGTTACATGACAGACATATTTCATATTATGTACTGTGTGGACTGTTCCTCCTCGGACATTTGAGTATGAATCATTCCTCAATATAAATTAACGCAAAATGGAACTCTACTGCAAAGTTACTCGAGTCCGTTTGTTACTACTTCTGATTCTGAAGTACCGAGTAAAAATGTGCAGTGTCAAATAATGCCAGCTTGTAAAAATCTGGATTTGTTATGTGATGACCTTAAAAACATACTGGATGCTGCGCCTTCTCATGCCTCTCAGACATTATTCTCAGTACTCAGTGAATTTTCAACAATAAAAGCAGAAATATTTTAATATGCAACATTTCTGAATTATTCCCTTTTGCATGCTGTACAAAAACTGCACTTATGTCTCAGAATTTCAGTTTTGATTTGGGGTTTTTCATTAAAATTATGAAGCGAATCGTTTCTCTTAAACACTTGGCTTTTGTATCAAAATCCTCACAATTGCTTATTTCAGATACTGTAAGTTTTATTGAAGAATATTTGTTGCAGTGTGAAACAGATGGCAATTTGAAGATATCCGTCTTCTGGGTTATTGCGCTGTGAGAACCTCAAGTCTTACAGATGGCAATTTGTTTCCAATATTGAAACTTCTGTTGATATTGCCAGATGTATATAGACATATGTTACATACTAATTTTTAGTACAATTTGGCTTATATTTCCATATGTGTGTACACCATTTAAATTCAGACCTGCAAATAATAAAGAGCTTAAATATCCGTATGACCAGCAGTAACTAAAGATAAATATTCAGTATCTGTTGCCAGCAAGTTGTCCGAGAGATGTGATTACAAAACACTTGTGCTGGTGGAATGTTTTCAGGTTATGGTGGATTCCCTGCATACCCTCAACCCCCATACAGTGGTTATCCCTACTCTGCACAGCAGCAGCAGCCACCGCAGAATCGGCCATGGTGAATGACAGAAAAGCAAAACACACTATCACTGCAGTACAGTTGTATGAAGAACGTGTTATTACATTTTCCTCTGATAATTTTAAATTATTTGCTTTAGTCTTACAAAAAGGAAAGCGAGAAAAGATTCAGAATCAGGGAAACAAGTTTGTTTTTTTATAGATTATTCTATATAATTTATATTTGTGCAAAGAATATATTGGATCTTAAAATGTATTTGAATATAAATTAATTTTTTTGTTCTATCTGCTAAATTATATACTTGTATGTACTTCTACTTCTGTTACTTGAGACAGGTACAGAAATATATGTATGTAGGCCAGTGTATGATAAAGCAGAAATTTCTAAGAAGGTAATCTTATTTTGCATGTCATCCTGAAATGTATTAACTATAATAATAGCATATTCAGGGTTGATACAAAGTGCTCATAAAGTGAAGCAGTTATAAGTCTAGAGTGCCTAACTTGTAGCGTAATCAGAAACTGGTGAATGTACCGAGATTTGCAGTTCCCTGCCCAAACTTCATACCATACCATCTTGGAGGAAGTCTTGTAATCAGCATTTCTTACTCTAGTAAGTAGTGCCATTTTGTATTATTTTAATGTACTTTATTTTCTTGAAATATGACTAATAAAATATCACTTAGTTACAGTTTCATTATGCCCATATCCCATGTTACATGACTTACACATATCCATTTTCCTGCCAGTAATATCTTGCTCATGAATTTCTCTGGCATTCAGCACCTACTATTCTGAATGTTAGTTTTATCTAAATATTGTTCTGTGATACACGTCCACAACTGGGCGTGAAGTGTACTTCCTAATGCAGTATTAAGACATTTCAATGAAATGGAATTGTGAGTCTATAGTAAAATTTGATAATGAATAGATTCAAATGTAATAAACTTTTGAACATACAGCAGCAAAGACACTTTTTCGTGTGTTCGCATAAATGCATCTCTCCAGCTTCATTATGCTTCCCCGTAACAACTCCTGAAACTCTGAATGGATTTTCATTATTGGGGAGATTTACTAAAAGTAGAATTAAAATTAAAATGATACAACAAGAAGAGATGCTGCATCTCTGACATAACATGTTAAATATTAATTGGAGCAAAAAAATGTTTTGAACAAAATTTGTAGAAATAAGTGAAAAGAAGTTGACATTTACAAATTGAAAATTCTTCACACCACATTAGTCACATACTGCCTGATCCCTGTTCAGCTTCTGAAACCCTGAGACGTGCATCCATCCTGAATGTGTCAACTGCAATGTATGCTGAAATGGAAAGCTTTCAAGATTCAGCATGACACCCAGAAAGCCAAAGCTGAACACTATACAGTTCTTTCTGTTGTTTTGTATCATTATGAAGCTTGGTCTCACACCCTAAGAGAACATTAAAGGTTGAAGGTGTATACTGATGATAATATTTTAATCTAAAAGAGATGAAGTAACAAGGCTTGAGAAAATTGAGACCACCATAATCTGTACTGTTCACCAAATATTATTAGGGTTATCTGAGCAAGGGGGATGAGATCACTGAACAAAAACAGAAGGCATGGGAGAGATGGGAAATTCATGCAAAAAATTATTTAAAAAACTGAAAGAGAAGAGTACACTCGAGAGACCTGGATGTAGATGGGAAGATAATACTGAACTGAAGCCTAAAGAAGTAAGATGAGTGTAGACTGGTCTCATGTGACTCAAATATTGTTCAGTGGTGGGCTCTTATGGAGATGGTAATGAATCTTCAGGTCCTATAAAAAGTTAATTTCTTTACTACCTTTGTGACCAATGAGGTGGAGTAGCTCAGTCAGAATGAATGACAGTATCAATATCTGGCAGGAAAAAAGGATTTTTCTTCTAGCTGTGTCCAGGCCAGCTTTGGTGCCCACCCAGCCTCCCATCCAATCTGTACTGGGTGTCCTTTCTCTGGGGGGGTAAAGCACAGCTGGGGTGTGATGCTGACCACAAACCCCCTTCCAGTGCCAAGGCCAAGAATGATTACTTCTCCCGCCAAGCATCTCAATGACAAGTAGCAGGACAGCTTTACTTTTCACTTTATCTTTGTGACTATTTGCTTTTCAAGACTGACTCTGCTTCATGGAATTACATTATTCACACCATGCATACTTCTACCTTGTGCAGTAAGCACATGTCTGGTGTCAGTACAGTGAAGTTCAGAAGATTATGCCATGACTTAAAACCTTGATGCATTAATAGTATTTCTGACATTTGAATGATGGTATGGCTCAATTTCTGCGAAGTTTAATTATTGTATATATCATGTCTTTAAGTTTACCTTATAAAGTTGCTTGAATCCTTACATGTCAGATATTTCAAATGAAAAATGCATATCATGCATCATGTGCACTGAGAAAATTTGTCAAGTGGTGCAGAGAACTTTAGTCTGCATGTGCTGCATTCACAAAATGTGTTTACAGCAAACTCTCACATGGGCTAAGCATCGTCGTTACTATACAGATCAAATAAGTGTTTCATGGAGAGTAAGTATCACTAATTTTTGAAACTAGAGTACAATCTAATGATGATATAAAGTTCTATCCAAGCATAAAGTTTTATACAAACTGACCAAACTGTTGGATGCACAGAATTGTAAAGGTTAAACCTAACGGAAATGGTTCATTTTTGGCAAACACGTGCTAGAAAGTACATGCAAGTTCACATAATTTCATCCTGTCTTTATTCAATTATATTAAGAACTTAAGAATATAGATAGTATTAAAAGGCAATGCATAAATCAAATTTCTATTCAGCGTAAGCCACAGTAGCAGTCCCTAATTTATAAGGGACCTCATTCACACGTTCAGTCTATAAGCTTCCTTATTTAATATTTAAATGTGAAAACTCACTCTCTGTAACAAAATGTGAATGGTATCTGAAAGTAATGCTTGTATAAAGCCAGTGAGGTGACAGTTATTGAGCAAGATGTTATTTAAAACGCAACCCTAACTACAACAGAATTTATAACCTTTCATGACATCAATATAATAAGATACACGAGTCTTTTAATTTGTAGGAAGAATTGATAAAAGAACTTTACAGTAGATGCTGCAAATTCCATCACCTTCTGAAAGATGAACATCCACCCTTTAGAGTGTGTTATGTGCAACTTTCACCTGTCAACACTATCTGTAAGGAAGATGTTTCCTGTGTCTCCATCACTAAATACTCCACACCAGCAAACAGTTTTGATGCAAAGTAATATTAAAGAATGAACACACATTCTGCTTGTACATATACAATGTTTGCACTTGCACAAGTAGTTTGAGCATAATGACCAAAATGACAAGGTGTCACCTATTTTGTATGGGCGTGAAACTTGGCCTCTCACATTAGGAGAACACATTGAGGTTGTTTCAGAACAGAATGCTTGAATGAAAATTTGGACTTGAGGGATGTGACAGGAGGCTGGAGAAAATGGCATAATGAGGAGCTCCATAATTTGTACTTTTTTTAAATATTAAAGTTATGTATCATACACAGGGATGAAAAATTGCTGTTGGAAAGCCTAAGAGAAAGATGCCAATTGGAGCACCTTGGCACAGACAAGAGTTCACAATAATCAATCTTCATATCCCATGACAAGTGTAGAATTTGTTGACTAGCTATGTACTATTTATTAGCTTTTCAAGGATTCTGCACAAAAAGTATCATACCATCACCAGACTTCTAGCTCTTGACAATATTTAATACAATATTTATAGATATGTTTTATTATATATCTCCATGCAAATTTCAAATACGTTGTCCATGATTTCATTACCGATTACCATAAAACAAAACGCCAAATACAGAGACCTTATGATTAAGTAGCATTTGAGGTTCTGAGGGCGGTGTCTGAAGCTTGTTATCTTCTGCGTCGTTACACCATGTACTATGGGTCATCGCCCTGATTATGGAGGCAGCAAGGACCTCTGAAACGTCAGTAAACTTCTGCCAGGCTACACGGCATAATAACCCAGAAGAAAGCCATCTTGAACGTATCACTACAAGCATGCAGCAGTCATGTTGTACACTCTATAAGAAATGTTACCTTACAATCCCAGACCCTATGTTAATGTGAATTGGTTCCAATGTTTAAATGGGTGGAGGCACGCACTTAGGCAGCATGATAAAGTCAAAAGCTACTTCAATCTTTCCTAATAAACATAAGCTAATTTGGAAAACAGTTTGGTTAACGTGGCTATACGCATATAATAAAACCTCGTTCAAAGTGGTCGCTCTAGAAAAAGAAAAACCATATTCTTACATAATTTTCGAATTATGTTTTATATTTTACTACGGACTCACCTGTGGTGTTGAGTTGAAGTATCGATGTAATATAAACACATTATCGAATAAAATAGGTCAAAAGAAATATTTATAACTGATACTTAAATTTAACACTTATAACACAAATGCAAGCCCGTGAACATTTCACTCTTAAAATACGATTTAATGTATCTTCACATCAGATTCCATAAAAATCTTGGACACAAAGTCTTGAATGTCATCCATCGGCATCACTCGCAATATTTCTATATCGAACACTGACAGTGCACCATAATGCCGTCTTTCCAAGCTCAACATGCTCCACGAGGCTGCATCCCCCACCCTCATTCGTCACACGTGCTCGGTCAGGAACGTCTAAATGTGTTGTATGGTCTTCAGTGGTTGCGACCAGCTGATCCACAATTTAACGTGCATGCT